ACTGATCAGTGGGTTTTGGTCAGTTGTTGTTGATCAATGGTCATGAGAATTTGCATAATTAAGATTAAGGAACTGACCTCCCAGCCCATTGTTCCTTCAGTGGGCTGGTTTCAGTCATTATGCAAATGTCCTGTTTATAAGATTGAAACCTGCAGTCAGCTGAGACTGAAGACGTCACCTGATGATGACGAAACGTTTCTCCCACAAAACGCTACGTCCAGATGAACAGAATCAACTTTTGGAGATTTACTTACCTGAATGATTAAGAATGCATCAAGACGTCCATAGCTCATGTGTCATAGATCATGTTCGAGACTTTTAGTTCACAGCCATCACCTGACTGAATTTTATTTATTTAGTTATTTGTAAATAAAAGTTTTGTTATCACGGTTGAACCTTTTACCTCTGTGCCTGCGTTTGGGTCCATTCACCTGTTTTTGGCCGCCCGGTCGTAACAATATTAATCAGAAATTAGAAAACAATTGCTTTCCTGGCCCTGCGACAGACTGGCGACCTGTCCAGGGTGTACCCCGCCTCTCGCCCCATGACAGCTGGGATAGGCTCCAGCGCCCCCCCGCGACCCTGGAAAGGATAAGCGGAAGCGAATGGATGGATGGATGGAATTGCTTTCCTCTAAGGGACAGCAGAAGTTAATATTTTGAAAACCTATTTCTGTAGGTTTAGTGAAAATAACTTTTATAAAAATGGGTATTATTTAAAAACAACCTGCTGTGGTTGTTTACTTACCAAATACTGTTAAAATAAAATCTATTAATAGTGTAGTTTGGCTCTACTTGTCACCCCAGAATGTAAATCAATACAAAGTTATTCTAAGTGATCATCTTTAGTGGCCAATGGGAGTTGTCTTGCCAAGGATGACAAGGTCATCCTTGAAAAGTTTAAATGTAAAAATGATGCAACAGGACACTTTGAAACAATATGTTAGACAGCATTCTCCAGTGTTTATGCAGAATGGCTTCACGTATTAGACTTTAAGAGTTTATATATGAAATATGAACATAAATCATTTGGTTGTGTGGCAAGTCGTCTACAAAAGATTCCAAGAAACCCAAAATTTCATCAGATTTTCTGCAGGTGACACATATCTCTATCTTTCTCATCTTTAATGAAAAAGAGATTTTATAAATTCCCATTTATTGGAAGACTGTTAAAGACAAACAAACAAAAACAACAACAACAACAAAAACCTGTGAACAACATTAGAACAAACCTACAGTTTGCCAGTGAACATACAGCTAAAGAGCACAAAGATGGAGATGTTTGACCAGAGAAACAGTAAATGTGTTTGATCCAGACCAAAGGTAACTTTTCATGGTTTGGGCATAAATCATGGCCTTGTTGACTGAGCAGCTTGGATCTTTTGTTTCAACTATGAATTTTTGCATTATAAATTCAGAACTTGTACTTAATGATGTCATAAGATCTGTACAAAAGTTGAAGTTGAACTAGAAATTGATCTTTCACAGTAGCAAACCTCGTTAAAACTAGATAAAAATGAATGAAAAAAATAGGACAATGCAAACTTTCACAAACAGTTATAACATCTCACATTTAAGTAAATAGATAACTGAAAAAGCTAATATCCTTTTCAGTTTTCGTTTGGAAGTGCTGATTGTCTCTTCATATCCCATTTGAATCATTTAACTTAAATATAGGTTATAGGAAAAGTACACATGCAGTTAGAGTATCAGCTCACAACAACACAAAAGTACTCTGTTGCTGTTGTGGTGAGTTGTTGATGGTTCGCTTTGATTGACACGAACAGCTCTACAAACTGAGCAGTGACCTGATTGGCTGTTGTGAGGGTGATGAGCAAAGCACAGTGGAGCAGGCACAACTTCAGGACAACATTTACTTGCTGAAAACCTGCAGCAGGTAATTCAGTATGATTTCATCCTGATGCAAGAAAAACACAGAAATGTTTAAACAATGCTGAGTTGGTACCTAAGTATACAGGGAGTGCAGAATTATTAGGCAAGTTGTATTTTTGAGGAATAATTTTATTATTGAACAACAACCATGTTCTCAATGAACCCAAAAAACTCATTAATATCAAAGCTGAATGTTTTTGGAAGTAGTTTTTAGTTTGTTTTTAGTTTGAACTATTTCAGGGGGATATCTGTGTGTGCAGGTGACTATTACTGTGCATAATTATTAGGCAACTTAACAGAAAACAAATTTATACCCATTTCAGTTATTTATTTTTACCAGTGACACCAATATAACATCTCCACATTCACAAATATACATTTCTGACATTCAAAAACAAAACAAAAACAAATCAGCGCCCAATATAGCCACCTTTCTTTGCAAGGACACTCAAAAGCCTGCCATCCATGGATTCTGTCAGTGTTTTGATCTGTTCACCATCAACATTGCGTGCAGCAGCAACCACAGCCTCCCAGACACTGTTCAGAGAGGTGTACTGTTTTCCCTCCTTGTAAATCTCACATTTGATGATGGACCACAGGTACTCAATGGGGTTCAGATCAGGTGAACAAGGAGGCCATGTCATTAGTTTTTCTTCTTTTATACCCTTTCTTGCCAGCCACGCTGTGGAGTATTTGGACGCGTGTGATGGAGCATTGTCCTGCATGCAAATCATGTTTTTCTTGAAGGATGCAGACTTCTTCCTGTACCACTGCTTGAAGAAGGTGTCTTCCAGAAACTGCCAGTAGGACTGGGAGTTGAGCTTGACTCCATCCTCAACCTGAAAAGGCCCCACAAGCTCATCTTTGATGATACCAGCCCCAACCAGTACTCCACCTCCACCTTGCTGGCGTCTGAGTCGGACTGGAGCTCTCTGCGCTTTACCAATCCAGCCACGGGCCCATCCATCTGGCCCATCAAGACTCACTCTCATTTCATCAGTCCATAAAACCTTAGAAAAACCAGTCTTGAGATATTTCTTGGCCCAGTCTTGACGTTTCAGCTTGTGTGTCTTGTTCAGTGGTGGTCATCTTTCAGCCTTTCTTACCTTGGCCATGTCTCTGAGTATTGCACACCTTGTGCTTTTGGGCACTCCAGTGATGTTGCAGCTCTGAAATATGGCCAAACTGGTGGCAAGTGGCATCTTGGCAGCTGCACGCTTGACTTTTCTCAGTTCATGGGCAGTTATTTTGCACCTTGGTTTTTCCACACGCTTCTTGCGACCCTGTTGACTATTTTGAATGAAACGCTTGATTGTTCGATGATCACGCTTCAGAAGCTTTGCAATTTTGAGACTGCTGCATCCCTCTGCAAGATATCTCACTATTTTTGACTTTTCTGAGCCTGTCAAGTCCTTCTTTTGACCCATTTTGCCAAAGGAAAGGACGTTGCCTAATAATTATGCACACCTGATATAGGGTGTTGATGTCATTAGACCACACCCCTTCTCATTACAGAGATGCACATCACCTAATATGCTTAATTGGTAGTAGGCTTTCGAGCCTATACAGCTTGGAGTAAGACAACATGCATGAAGAGGATGATGTGGACAAAATACTCATTTGCCTAATAATTCTGCACACCTGTATATAAAGTGGTGAGCTATAGAGAAATGTAACAAGAACTTGCCGTGTAGTGATAGAATGTCAAGAGTGTGTTTGATACTGGATGAAAATTGCACAGTACTAAAAAGAAGATACTAACTGACAAAACAGTGTTACAACTTGTCAATAGTATTTTGATTCTAACTCTTGTTTCTTACTTGCAGAACTTTCAGTAAAATGTTGGACGTAGTCCGAAGCTCTACCAGATTCAACAAAGGAGGCTCTGGATCCACATTAAAAATGACAATAAATCAGTTAGTTACTCTAGACCTAAGAGTCGATAGGACTGACTTTGTGGTTTGCATGTTTGCTATTTTTTACAAATGACTTATTTTTTTGTTTGAGGTTTTTTTAGAGCAGGAATCATCTACATCTACATCAGCGGTCCCCAATCCCCGGGCCTCGGACCGGTACCGGTCCGTGAGTCGTTTGGTACCGGGCCGCGAGAGTTGAGGCTCAGGTGTCAAATGTATGGTTTTCAGGGTTTTTATCGGTTTTTAGTGTTAATTTGTTACCGTTTTTATCGTTAACTCGGTTTTCCTGGGTCTTTTCACGTGTGTTATGAATAAATCTTCTTTTTTCGGTACCGGTACTAGTTTTATTTTGTTGTATTTATCCGTCGTGCAAAAAATATCGTCGGGCATAAACCGGTCCGTGGTGCAAAAAAGGTTGGGGACCGCTGATCTACATGTACTAAATATTATTTTCAGACAGCTAACAATCAATACACAAGTCTCAACAATCGCCAATATTGCCAATAGTAACCTGGCAAGTTTACTTGTACAACTAACATTACCTTACTTAAGTCAGTTTTTTCTTAGTTTGTAAAGTCGTCTGTCCCTTCAGCCTAATCTGCATCTTCGCACTCGGACCATTTTCACTTTCACTTATGAGAAACAAAAAAGAAGGAATTCACTCTGTGATCCTAGTCGTTAGCAGGTTTTAGACTCAGTTTTACCACCAGGTTAATAACTCTATTAGGCAGGTGGAGATTCTTAACATCAAAGATAAAATCAATACAATACATTTGAAAAGCCTCTTCAACTGATTGTGGAGTACATTAATGCATTCACATAGTGATAAGAAAAATCAACATCCAGGTGTTTGTTAGCGAGAGATAAAAGAGCAAACGTTGTATTATACTACTGAGTCACCATCAGATGAGCCCCCACCCTATCTGCAGAGAAATGTGGAAGGTTGGCATTGATCAGATGATCAGATTGAGTTTATCGATGACTTTGGTAACACCTCAACTTTCAAACAAATCTCCTGATTCTTTGAAGCACATACAGCGAGGAAGAGGCTGCCTTGAGTAAAGCAGCTGACAGGTGTGACGAGTTGCACAAAATGTCTGCCCTTCCTCCCACAATCCCCTGCATTGCTGTACAGAGCTGACCAATGTCATGTGGTGCCCTGTGTGATGTCACAGCAGTATAAAGGCCTCACTCGGCCGACCAGCTGCCCTGAGCAGAGTCAGCGTTCCCAGCCTGGACGCCTCGGCTGGAGGGACTGCTGTTACGAGGAAAACTACAAAACTACACGGCGGCGTAGGCCTGTAGTTTTGTTTTTTTCTTTGGGGTTCCTTTGAGGCTCAACTGTTCCCCTTTTGGATTTTCTGACTCCGTTTTCTGGATAAAGATTTTAGATTTCCTGCTGAGCGCCCAAATCTGGGCTTCCCAGGCATCCTTGTCCAGACAAGTAAGTGTCTTTAAAGTTTTTTAAACTGTTGTGAATAATGAGCTCCAACGGAGAACCAGACAAAGTGATCTTTTTATATTTTTTTAGCTGAAGGTTAGAGCAGGGCATCCCAGAATAGCCGCTGAGAACATCAGATTGGATCCCAGCTGAGTGGCTGATGGCTTTTTAAGGGAATCAGCAGCAGGGCTATCAGTTGCCCCTCCAGATATGTGCCACATGGTGCCTGTCAATCAAACTGAGATCTGTTGGGTTGGAGGTGGTGATATTTTTAGCCGTTGGCTTTAGCGCCCAACCCCCGGGCACGAGTTGGGGTGGTGGTGACTGACTGCAGCAACACCTCAAGGAAGCTTTTATTTTAGAGCAGAAAATAGTCAACAGCTGAGCCGAGTTTGTATTTTAGTTTTATTAAATGTATTTACAATAAATTTTATATCATTTATTTAATTTAGTGTTTTGAGCTTGTGTTTTATTTTTCAAGTGGAGGTTCTTGCATTTGGCTCATTTACGCTGTCATTGCTTTTAAGATGTTTCCAGACGTGTCCTATAACGAAACAGCCCAAGAACATTGATTTGAAATTTTAAAAAGTACATAAAATCTGAGTTAAGTGTTTTTTGTTGTTGCATTAAATATATTTACTTACTTATCTTATTTCTGCTTTTAAAGCTGAAATGATTGCAAAATAATAATAATTCATTGTTTACATTATTATTGCTTTAAATGCTTATTATAATTGAGCAGCAAACGAACGTTTCAGTCCAAACAGTCTGAACTCTGGAGGGGTGAGAGTGTAACTAATGTGTTATAAATGCTCCCCTTGCTTTGCCTCGGGCTCAGTTTCTGAACTGTGACATCATGTGCATCATGTGCATCATGTGCATCATGTGCATGTTCATTGTTTCATTTCATCTGTTTAGCTATATCATGCTGTTATTGTTCAGTAGGTCCCACATCATAACTGTTAAGATATTATTACTCCACATGATATAAAGATGAGAACATGTTTCTTAGAGAGGTTTAAAAATGTTGAAAAACTTTAATCATTTAAAAGTAAAAAATATATGTCTTTGTGTTTTTATTCACATAATGTTTTTAGGGGCTTATGATAGTCCTTTTTTTTATTTATTACACAATGATTAATATAAATTGTTAATTATTTACTAATTTTAAATAAAATAATTAAAATAATAAAATATATTACTCTTTTATGATGATGACATACATGATTTTATATATAATATTATTAATGTGGTTATTAAAATAATAAATATTAACATTGTGATTCTCTGGATGGAGAGTAAATTTTATGGTATTCAAAAGATCAGATTAATTAGAATGAACTGTCAGATATTCGAATGTTCATCTTTAGCGTGAAGGAAACAAATGAAACTTTACAATTGGAAATGAAATCAAATAAAAAATAAATAGATAAACATTTAAAAATTAATTCTATTAATGGCCCATTCTCCTTACAAAGTGAGATTAAGAATTTTAGCTCCATGGTTACGGCAATAAGATAATTCCACACATCATAACATCTCAAATAAAATTATTGATGTCTTTATGTTGAAATTATTCTTTATTTTCTGATTTGAAGCTCACCATTTTTTGTTTTCTTGAGATTTTCGACTAGTTAGAATAGAATAGAATAATCCTTTAATTGGGTGTAACAGCAGCCAGAAAGACACATATACAACAAACAGTACACAGGACACAGAACAGAGACATACACAGTTTTTCTTACATATTTACATCGAGGACAGTGGTTACCAAAAACAGATTGTTGTACCGTTATTAAATTAAATAAAATTAAATACAGATAAGAGGCAAACCAGGTTATAATGTGAACCGGTTGATAAAATAGTGCAGTTACAGCGCTGACGTAAACATCTGTGTTTGTTGGGAGCAGTTCTGATCGTACAGTCTGACAGCTGCAGGGAAGAAGGACCTGCAGAAACGCTCCTTCATGCATCGAGGATGCAGCAGTCTGTCACTGAAGCAGCTCTGCAGTTCAGCAACTGTTGAAGTTGCTGAGTTGAAGCTGAATTACCTTAATAACCAGAGTGGGAGTTATTTCATGCCTCCAACAGCAACAGCTGTCAGTCTTTGTGCATTTGTGTAAAGTTGACAAAACTCTCAGGTGGCCTGGACCAGATCCAGGAGGACTCCAGTGCCAGTCAAGACCAGTCAGAGCCAGTTTCACCAAAAAGGGCCAGTAAGACGCCCGGCAGAGCTTAGCAGTGCCAGTGAATGCTGCTGATAACGAATGAAACACTGATAAAGACAAACAAAATCCATAAGTTTTCCCTTCAGGCAGTGGGACAAATTCCTGTGTGACGGGAATGTCGCTGATCAGTCAAACTAGGTCAAGTTTCACTGCCCTCGCTGACTCCAGTCTACTGATTTATTGACAGTTCATTAAATAGTGTGAACAGTTTCTAAATAATATAAAGCACATCGTTGACGTTCATCTTCTGATGTTGCCTGAAACAGAATTAATTATAATTAATGTGAAGAAAATTAAGCTCAAATAGGAAATGTATTCAGCCTGGTTAGACAAACAAATGTAATTCTTACCATGTTGTTCGTGTAAGTGTGACTTTTTCTTTCTACTAGCTTCTTCAGAAGGATACTGAGGCACTCCTAAAGCAGCAGAGTAATATTTGACTGATGAGTGGTGCTGTGAAAAACACTTTCTCTGTAGTTTCAGTGCTTTTCCTAAACTTTCTGCCGTGATCCGGGACTAGCCTGGTTCAGGGGCACCTGCAGAGTTTTTCCGTAGGGGTGGCCACATGGGGGGTGGCTCAGCAAAAACAGAATTTTCAGTTTTATTATGCTGTTGTCAAATATAGGTTACTTGAAAAATATGTGTGTGGGGGGGAGGGGGGTTGCCTAGTTAATTTCCTGCTATTAAAGTCGATATCACTTAAAATAGGTAATTGATTGGTTGACTGAAGGTCCCAACCATCACTTTAATGATTCTCAGCACAGCTGAGCAGAAGCAGCTCAAGATTCTCAGACTGGAGCAAACGTGTTCAGGAAATAAGTATAAGATCATGGAAGAGTGTGAACTGCTGCCTGTCTCTTTGTTGGCAGTGATCTGTCCAGGGATTGGCACCAGCCCCCCTTGGTGCCCCCAGCTGGGTTTCCCACTGGTTGGACATAAACAGGACACAAACCTGAGAAACGTGCAGGATGCAGTCATACGTAACAGCTGCCTAATTTGGCTCCTTTTGAGCCCAGGAAGTTTAGAAGTTCATTTCCAATGCAGGTATCAGCAACAGTATTCGTTTGGTAACTACCAGCAGCTGTTTTGCTTCCACTCTCCCACCACTCATGAATGAGAATCCAAGACGAAGCAATGCTAAGTGAGCTAGCCACCCTTACAAACATGAACTCAGACATAATGCCTGTGACTGTGGGCTGGAAGATGCCTTTATTAATCTGAAAGTGGCACTAAGAAACTTCTCATTTCAAACTTCCTGTTAATGCAAGTGGCTGATAGCAATGGCTAGAGTCACATTTGTAAAATACAGCCTTTACTGCTATTAAAGGGTCTTTGCCTCACACTATATAACACCTTGAGGCGACTGCTGTGGCTTTCCTTTAAGAATATGTAAAGTAAACACATAAAATTTTACAATTTCATTTTTTAACAAAAAAGTTCAATTATTAGATAAAAACCCTGAGGAAAAGCAAACTATCATAAAATCACAGCCCAGTCTACTGAACGAACTGAAACCTGAGAGCAGTTTCCCAGTTTTAAGCTGGTGTTCTGATCTGCCTGATCAGCTAGTGGTTTATCAGCCAGACTCTGAGGAGCCTGGACTACATCTGGGGATGTCGCTCCTAAAATAAACTCAGCAGAGTTCCTGTCAGCACACTAACCATCAAAGAGAAGCTGTGGACACAACATCTACAGAGCCTCAGATGCAGCTGTTTGTGTTTTTACATATGTTTTATTTACTGGAGTGAGCAGCAGTGGGATATTTGATGCAGTTTAATGAAGACAAAGATAGTGTAGTTTCATAGAGTGCTGAAAGATATTTGTTGTGGTCACATCTGAATATTTAAAAACTGATGCTGTGTATCTGTGTACTGTCTGATGGGCAAACTCTGTAAAGACATTCTGAGTGGAGATGATCTAATTCATCTGTGGTCGTTACCTAAACACAGGAAGATGTCTTCATTTTTGCAGATAAGAAATATAAAGACATGTATTTGGTACAGAATATGCAAAGGTTCATCCTGAAATATATTTTTCACTCAGATTATAGACGAACGTAATGCTTGTAACATTGTTCTGCACATCCAAATGTGTCTTTCTTCATATCACCTATATTACCCACAATGCACCTTAAACTCATAGGACTCATATGTGAAGGTTACAGTATTACTCCTGTCACTGCATTATTGGGTAAAACTCTGCTGCAGTGGTGATTCCCTTTGAGATGTCCAAACTGAAGTAAAAGCCATCTTACTAACTTTGGAAGAGACGGCTTGTCTGAAGTCGTGCTGGTTTGACTGACAGCATGAAAAAAACCCAAAGTCATCTCCCTTTGTTGCTGTTTCCAATGGAAAGGTAAAGTTAGCTTTAGATTTGTGCTTTACAGCCCTGTCTCTGTGGACAATTCAATAAAAAGGTACAAACCATGAATTATGTCTATAAACAAAAATAGTTAGAGCCTATTTCTAAAAATCATCTGGACTCGTGAGTTAAACTAAGAAAATCTCAAGTCTTAACCCTATAATGAGTTTCTGAGACCTCGATCTCATCAACATGATCAATACTTGCCATAATTTCATAATGTTACGGACAAAACTCTTTTTTTTTGTCTAAAATTAACATTGTTGTTACCAAAAAGTTGCCAAAAACACCCAATATATGACATGCGATAAAAATATATAATAAATATAGAACAAAATATATCATACACAACATGATATAGCAAAAAATAAATACACTTGTGGATTTTGTTTATGAGGGTTAATAAACATGGCTGGCTATTTTTTGATGGGTTGGGTCTTACAGGGTTAAAGACGACTCCTTAATTTTCTCCCAAACTGTAAAAAGCTAAAAACAAAGGTCTCACAACAATAGTTAGAGGCTGAAAACTGCTGAGCTGAACTGGAGCAGTCTTATAGAGTAGACCTTATTATCTCTCTGGACTGACTCCTGATGTCCACTTCCGAGCATGATGTGGAGTGATACTGATATTTGCTGCCGGGTAATGCCAACAATTCTTTGAAAGGATGCACTAATTTGTTGATGTTGTTTGACGTGTCCACTGACTGTGTCTTTGTCTTATTTGTGTGTAGGGTGCCAGCCAACATGTCAACACAAGCACCGACATTTACACAGCCGCTACAGAGCGTCGTGGCACTTGAGGGTAGTGCCGCGACGTTTGAGGCTCAAATTAGTGGTAAGACAGCTTCCAGACTGAACCGACTCACATGTTGAACCCGACCATTTGTGACTGTCCTGTCGTCCACAGGTTCTCCAGTTCCCGAGGTGAGCTGGTTCCGCGATGGCCAGGTTCTTTCCACCACCACTCTGCCAGGTATACAGATCTTGTTCAGCGATGGCCGCGCTGTTCTGAGGATTCCTGCTGTGACGGCTGCACACAGCGGAAGGTTTTCTGTTAGAGCCACGAACGGAGCTGGACAAGCCACAAGCACCGCTGAACTCCTCGTTACAGGTGAGAGGAGGGAGGCTGGGACACCGGCGACCTGGGAAAACACAGGAAAAATACACTGAAGTATTTTCCCATTCAAATCACTGAATTCAGACGTTCCAATCACTTACATAGTCCCTGGCTCCTATAGCATTCAGGCTGCTTCTACAAACATTTGTGAAAGAATGGTTTGCTCTCAGACCTCAACCTCAAGGTCCGACAGGCCAAGTTTTCTAAAACCGTGGAAATGCAAAAGCCCAAGAACAACGTGATTTAAGTCATTCATTTCTTATACGTTACCTTTCTAGTACAAATTTCCATCATCTCCATTATCAGTTTGCAGTTTGCCTGTTTGCTCATTGCTGTATCAGCATGGCAGTATTATAAAGGAATACCATCAAAAACAAACAGAGGCACAAATACATCCAAAAACAAATAATTAATATTGCTACATCTACGCTACAGTAAAGTGAATCTTAGATGAGATCCTTAAACTCTCTGTGGGTTAGTGTCAGGCTAAATGTTAAATGTATCCTGCTGGTCTTTAACAGGGGGGTGGGGGTGGGGGGGGTGGGGGTCCTGTAACTTAATCCAGTGATAAACTCAGCATAGATGCAGCTCTTGCAGCATATCATTGCATAAAGTTATTAACAAACTTAAACCCACTGAGGTCTGAATCATTGATTTTAATTTATTAACGATAATATAAAAGACATCAGGACTCATTTTATTATGTACACAGAGACACTTCTGGTACCAGGCTGGTTCAATTTCTTTCCATTTTTCAGTTTTTCATGAGATAGCAGGTGTTTTTGGTCCACACTGACACGACAGCATCACGTCGTTATAGCAGATTTGTTATCTGCACAGAAATGGATGTAAACTGCAGTTACCAGATTAGAACTCTTCATTTTTGTTTATTAGTCTTTGGTGCTTTTAGTTAGGTTACTGCTTGGTAAGGGCAGGTCAGCATTAAAATCAAGCTAATCTTCTATCTCTGCAGTGGAGACGGCGCCTCCAAATTTCCTTCAAAGACTTCAGAGTTTAACAGTGAGACAAGGCAGCCAGGTGAGGCTGGATGTGCGAGTGACAGGAATCCCAACACCAGCTGTTAAGTTCTACAGAGAAGGGGCCGAGATTCAGAGCTCGGCCGACTTCAGGATCCTCCAAGATGGAGACCTGTATACTTTGTTGATCACTGAAGCCTTCCCAGAGGACTCTGGGACATATTCTGTGACTGCCACCAACAACAGCGGACGGGCCACCTCCACTGCTGAATTGCTAGTTCAGGGTAAGCACCACAGTTTAATTAATTCTTCAAATACGTCAAGTTTGGTCAAAATATTTTATGTGGAAACGCATAATCCTCATAATAATTGAATACTCCACTTTTTAATATGTGTTAAATGATAATTTACCATAATTAATCAACCTAAACATTCATTTTTATTGTTGTTGCAGGTGAGGAAGCTGTGCCAGCTAAGAAACTGAAGACTGTTTCCACATCCCAAATATCGGTTTCCCAGAGCAGAGTACAGAGGGTGAGATAACCAAGTGTTCTAGGGAACAATTATCTGAGTTTAAGTTGATTAAAGTAGAAAGCATAGTTCTTAAATAGTAAATATTTCTTTTCCCAGTATTATTCAGGTACTTCTGCCTGATTGTCATGTTATGGTGACAGTACTGCTAAAAAAAAATGCATGAAAAAGAAACAGAGTGTGGAATTAATGTTTAAAGGTCATGTTCATATCTCATTTCTTAGTAAATATAAAATGTTCCCCTTTTGAAGGTGGAGACTAGTTTCCAGGCCTCCACTAAGAGGGAGATCCATGTAGGAGAAGGAATGATCACTCAGCATTTGGCTCACAAAACCCCCCCACGGGTTCCTCCAAAGCCGACCTCCAAGTCCCCGCCGTCCTATGTTTCCAAGGTGACGGCAGGACGTCAGCAGTCCCCTTCGCCTGTCAGACATGTGAAAGGGCCAACACCGACACCTGTCAGGTATGCAACTGTGATCTCAGTGAAGGCAGGTGGTCATCTAAATTGACTACATGAACTGACTGATCTACGTGTTGTCGTCTACAGACCAGTGTCTCCATCCACCAAACTGTCGGTTTCTCCCATCCGACCAGTCAAGTCTCCCATCATGACCAGGAAACAGGTCAGAGCATCTATCTGGAGTCTACTTTCACTGTCAAGATGCTGTAACAGTGATTTAGTGTACATGCCTCGGTTTGTTTGGCTTTTCAGTTTGCTCATCAGCAAATACCAAAAAAAACATGAAATGCTGCATATTCCATGTATTTAACTGTATTAGTGCCATCTTCAGGTGTGGGGTAGCAACACAATTAGTGACTCTGATTTTGAATACCAGCTAGTTTTTGTACAAATATTATTGATCACTGATGGAACAGTCCTGTTTTCTCTGGTATTGTTGTTCTTGTCTTCCTGCAGAGATGCAGGGTGTAAGTTACTGTTAGAAAGTATATATGTATATATGATGTAACTGAAATTACAGCATTTGGCAATAGTAATAACACTTTTTAGAGGCAACATGAAAATCTGCAGGAGATCACATGTAACATCAGGATACAGAGGAAAAATAAAACACAATGAATAAAGTTTGAAAACTGGTTCATAAAGTGGCTTTGATCTGTCTCTCAAAGCACACACACAACAACTGCTGTTAAAATCTGCAGACCTTCATTTTTTGAACGCGTGTTAGATAAACCGTAACCTCAATCGACTACTTGCAGGTATCTACCTCTGCAGAGGTTCTGCCGCCCTGGAAACAGGGAGACTATGCGACTGAGGCGAGCTATACCAGCATGGCAAGCATGACCGCTGTCAGCAGCACCACTCAGCTTCACATGGAGAAGCACTGGGAGCAGCAGGTGGCTGCCACCAGAGAGGTGAGAGTGGTACAGCCTGCATGCTGGTTAACTCAACTCAATCAGTACATTCAACCTGACATGTTAGTGCGTTTTGTTTGTGACTGCAGAATGAACACGGACAAATACTCTGTTTTTAATTTTGCTTTTTAAACTAACATCACTAACTTTTATGTTGTGAACATGTTGGCCCAGCTGTGCCGATGTATTGGATGTAAAGTGAACATGCATTTATTTTCTGTTCTTTCTGTCTTCTTCTTTTCTTTTCTTTTAATGCAACGTTGTCCTTTCTTGGTTATTAGCTGTGGCTTCTAATGTGATTATCCTGTTTGCCAAAGCGTGACTCTGTCATTTTGACCCAGTCTTCCTTCAGGACATTGTTACTGTTTTGAATTCACTCATAACCTTAAAATCATATTTATCGAATTGAACTCATCATAGAGATAATATCAGTAACAATCAAGCTCTGGGCAGCAAAAGGGTCAGTCTTGAAAAATGTATGTTCAATCCAAAGAAAAAACAAAGCTCTTTTTAAGAAGGTGTGGCTGAAAAATTCTAAATCAGTTTGCAAACAAGATGTTTCTGTGAGATCTTTTAGAATTGAGTTTGTAGGTATAAATGGTAAATGGCCTGTATTTGTGTAGCGCTTTACTTAGTCCCTAAGGACCACAAAGTGCTTTACACTACATCCATCCACACATTCACACACATATATAAAAAGCTTAAAATTACAAACCATTTTCACTGATTCACATTTAGTGGTGCATCAGGGGCAGTTTGTAGTATGTTGCTCCCAGACAAAGTCCGACTGGAGGAGTTGAGACTGAACAGCTGGCCTTGCAGTACAAAGATGGATAACGCAATCTGTATTGTAAACAACAGCTGTGCAGTGTGAACATCACATGCTGTAACCATAGACTGTATAAAAAAGATGGATGTAGCGACTACATTCATGGGTTTGTGGATCATTTTGATGCTTCAAGTGTGACTTTTTGTCCCGCATATTTTTCTTGCTCAGCTCTAAATTGGGAGTTATTGGCTATCGCCAGGCCAGCTGACTCCCACTCGCCATGGTCCTCTTTAATGCGGCTATAAAACATGTAGTGCACGTAGAATAGCAAGGGTAATTACAGTGCAACACACATCTGCCCCTCAAAGCTAAGAGGTAATCTGATCTCTTAATAAGACTGTTAAAGTTTAGACGCTGCACTAGTCAGCAATGATAAGAGGAAAAAAAGGAAGGTCCCATTTTAACCATACAGGTTTATTGACATTGTAGTAAAGAAGAAAAGTTTATTTATAGAGCACTTTTTACAGGCAAAAAAATCACAAAGTGCTGTACAAATCACAATTATTAAAATAGCCAGCACTGCATCATTTACATAAGAAGTTTTTGGCTCAGGATAAAGAGAGAGTGTTTGGTCACATTGTTGAGAAAGTGACCCACATACTGAGGGCTCGAGTTCCTGCGACAGTGCCCTGGGTTTGTGTCTTCCCAAAGCCACCTTATGCATTTAATTCATCAGGTGACTGCAGATCAGGATGGTAGAGTAGCTCATCTAATAACTGGAAGGATGATGAGTTGATCCATGGCTGCTCCGATCTGCATGCCAAGTATCCTTGGACAAGATACTGAACCTCAAGTTGTGAATCTTGGATAGAAGACTGCGTGATATTTCACTTCTGTGTTGTGTGACTTTATGGATGCTTTATTTGTCGTGTTTCTTTCAGTCCTTAAGGCTTTTGGTGGAGCATTGTCTTCTCTGAGATGTGTGTGCTGCTTGTTGTGTCTTCAGGATGAGGGAGAAAAAAAGGCTGAGGCAGTGGCTACAGTGGTGGCCGCTGTTGACCTTGCTCGTGTCCTCAAGCCTGTGCATGGGGAGGGTGTTCGGAAAGAGGAAGAGGAGGATGTGGGGTTGAGGATAAAGCAACAGGCGGCAGCAACTGCAGAGAAACAAGTTATTGCAACAAAAACACTTCCTACTGAGCCTGCTGTGTCTGCAGAGCAGCACAGAGTCCAGGTCTCTCAGGTTGGACGAGTTCCCTGAATTCAGTTACTTACGTCTCATTTTAATGATATGGAGCATCAACTATCCTAACACACTCTGTTGATTACTCCAGATTCAGAGAACAACAGAAATCTTCTCCTGTGTGGACACTGGTGTCGTCCAGCCCCCAGTTCCACATTTCACAGTTTCTAAAGTTTCTGTTCCTAAACATGAACCTAGACATGAGGTAAGAAGAACAGCTTGAGGCCATCGTCGTCCCAAAACCTTCATTTGAATGTGAACATCTTAACATACAGTTTTCCTTCAGTCTAATCCCCATTGATCCCGTCCTCACAGTATCATCCATCCTACCACAGCATTTGTTTCTTTTGAGGACTACCCCATCATAACATCCACTAGCTATAGTTTGTGGTTATTATATAACAGCAATAGTAACACTGTTTTTTTTTTCTTAGATATGACTTTGTGTTTTGGTTCAGAGTAGTAATCTGTAGAATAGATGAAGCAGTCACCTCGTGGAAAAACCATCTAAATCAGCTATCATCAGATAATCCCACCTCACGGATTAAATCAGTCACAGCAAAGAAACAGTTGCTGTTTCTCAACCTGTTTCAGTTTTAGTCCGTTTTTAGCTGGTTTAGATTTCCTGTTTAGGTTCAGTGTCTCTTGCTCACTAATCCCCAGCAGAATTTGGACTCACTATCTGTGTGTGATGGTTAATGCTGTTCTCATTGGCTGATCAGGTGTCCCTTGCTGGCTCTGCCATCGCTACACTGCACAAAGAGCTATCCTCCCCTTCAACCCCCAGAAAGATCATCAAGCCAGTCAAATCTCCCAGTCCGTCTCGACAGGCGGCGGTGGAGGTTCATGTGATACCTGAGCCCTTCCCACCACCGTTCAGAGATGTGCGATATAAGACTCAACTTGACAGCAGAGGCGCTTATGCGTTTAGTGAGGAAGAATTTGAGGAATGGGAGCCTCAGGTTGGTCTGATGTCCTCACTGCTATCATTCCTATCGTTCCTCAACTTAATCCTGTGTGGATGTTCACCTGAGTTCCTCTACCTATCTTAACGCAGCAGCAACTGATATGCTGCCTTTCACCTGCCTCATGAAGAATCCTCCTCCTCTTATTCCTGTCTTTGCTGCTTCACCTTCATCCCTCTGTCCTCTTTACATGGTTTTTTGTCTACTCTAACCTGTTTTCTCCCTTTATTCTAACAGAACCCCATACTTTGTTTTTTGGGGGACAATTTTTTAAGTTGTCTTGTTGGTTTCTGCAGGAGGTGGCTGCAGTGCCTACAAGATCCCAGGAGCCTGTTGTTCCACCCACTCTTATTGCTGTGAGTACTTTTCCTATCTGCTTCCTGTTTCCAATTAAATTCAGCTTATTTATAAAGAGCTAGTTGGCAAGAATGTACCTTAAATATCAGAGAGAAAACCTGATCCAGCCCTAACCATACACTTTATCAAAAGGAAAGACCCAACGAATGTAAGGTAACATGTTTTGTAGTCAAAACTTTAAAAGATAACTGATCATTTCACAAAGTGCTGCATCTGACTTCATAACAGCCACTGAAGGTAGCAACATTTAAAGCTCTTCCTGTCATCAGTTTTCATAATAATACTACATAATTACAGTTTGTGATTCAAATGTATCTATTTTACATTCAGTGTAAGAAATAATGTATTTTTGCATTTTTTGCTAAGTGAACCCAATAATGTACGAGAACATGAAAACAATTCACAACATAATATTATAGAAATATGATCGTTCTTTCTCTCCCTTAGTACTCTCGCTACAGCATGTAGGATCGATTTTTAACCATTTAACAGAGCTTATACAACAGCCTGATAAGGAATTACATTAGTCTGGCCAAGAAGTAACAAATGCATGAACTAGTTTCCAGCATGTGTTTAATTTTGACAATATTACAAGACGAGGACATTTTAACGTGTGAGTTAAAGAGCGTATTCTGATCACTATTTACTCCTAGTAGGCCTTTTTGTCTTCAGAATATAAATGTGATGTAAAATTGCTGTACATCCTGTAAACTTCTTTATGACTATTTCAGGGACTGAAGAACCTGACTGTGACCGAAGGTGAGTCAGTGACCTTGGAGTGCAAAATCAGCAGTCACCCTTCCCCGGTCATAATCTGGTTCAGGGAGGACTACAAGATCGAGAGCTCCATTGACTTCCAGATCAGCTACGAGCACGGATTTGCCAGGTTGATTATTCGTGAGGCATTTGCTGAAGACAGTGGCCGGTTTACCTGCACTGCCACCAATGAAGCAGGAACTGTGAGCACCTCCTGCTACCTGCTTGTGAAAGGTATCTATACTGGAATGATAAGCCAAAGTAAAGCTGACAAGTTCGTATGGAAATGAATTTACTGTAGAGGAGAAAAACAACTGGATTTTTGCACGAGCCTGCGGTCACCTGGTACACTTGAAAATTGATGAACACAACAGAGTCAAATGTCCAAGTTGTGGACATGCTAAAACATGTTAAACTACAGATCATCAAGTTTTATACAAACTAATTTGACTTTCACTTTCTCTTGTAGTTTCAGAAGAAATCGAAAGCAGAGAGGAAACAGCTGTCACAGAAATTGCAATCACACAAGAAAAAACGTGAGTTGTAAACGTCAGATTCATTCTTTGCAGATTTATAGTCATGTAAGAATCCAAAGCTGCAGAATTGATAAAGCTATTGCTCCTCTTCAGTGTTGCAGCTGAAACAAAGCTGCAGACAGTGACAGAGTTGAGCGCAGGAGAACCTGCAGCTCCGTTCTTCATCAAGAAACCCACTGTGCAGAAGCTAGTGGAGGGAGGAAGTGTTGTGTTTGAATGCCAGGTTGGAGGAAATCCAAGACCTCACATTATCTGGAAGAAGAATGGCGTGCTGCTTACCACTGGATACAGGTGATACAGATTATAAAATACATACAGGAAAAAATGGATCCCCTGCTGAATATCTGAGTTTGCTGACTTGCAAAGAAATGAACAGAGACAGATATCAACCAGAAATCTATTGATTTGCATGTCACTGAGTGAAATAAGTATTTGATCTCTTTGATTTCATCTCCTATCTGTGGAACAAACAGGAACAGTTATAGTCCTGCTCTGTTATGAGTCAGCTGTTTTGTAATGTTTGCAATATTTTTAATGTTTTAGATAAGACCTTAATAATTACCACAACTGTGATAATGATCTTTATTAACATGTAGGTAACTTACCTGTGTTTAGCAGTTCAGATATTTTCTTTATGAGGTCCTTTTAACAGTGGTCCTCTGATGACCATGTTATTGCAAAGCAGGTTAGTGTCTTTGAAAAGACATATTTACATCACCGGCCAATGTTTTTTGTGGATTTGCTTAACTGGAGCTAGCTATCATTGTCTTTTGTACGTTGTACACTCTCTAACACATCGGTTTTTTGTTTTTTAAATAAAAATCCACTTTACTTTGTAAGTAATGGCAGTGACAAACCAAATATTAAGGTAGAACAATTTGTTATTGAGCCTTGAAATCATGCTGTGACGATGGAGCACTAGCTTGTTTTGGTCTTATCAGATACAAAGTTGCCTACAAGGAAACTGGAGAATGTAAACTGGAGATCTCGATGACCTTTGCTGACGATGCCGGAGAATACTCCATCTTTGCTAAAAATCCCCACGGAGAAGCTTCAGCTTCCACCAGCCTGTTGGAGGAAGGTACTGGCATCCTTTTTTTTTGTTTTTTGCAGTTTTAAACTTTCTTTAAAAATCACTTTGAAAAGATGTGTCTGGCTTTATCTGCGTATCCGTATCTGTGTTTACAGAGGAATATGAAGCACATATGAAGCAGCACGATGTAACATATAAAACTGAAGTGACTACGTCAGTGGTTCAGGAACCCTCCGTGGTCGTGAGTCAGTATGAATTGGAACAGAGGAGGACAATAACCCCGATGAGCTTTGTCTCAGAAACGGTACTTGTGCTATAAACATTTGCAGTGCTGTGATAACAGATCTCAATCTACGGTTCATAATTAATGTCCATCATTTTTGCAGGAATTCCTCATTTCAGCCTTTGAGGAGAGGATAATACAGAAGATCGAACTGTGTATCATGAGAATTACTTACAGAGAGCTTGTGGCAGAGGACGGAGAGCTGGTAGTGACTATAGCAGATGAGGAGGCAGTGCAGCCAGCCTTTGACACACCAGTGAAAAACTACAGGATCATGGAGGGAGTGGGAGTCACTTTCCACTGCAAGATGGTTGGAAAACCACTGCCAAAGGTATTGAGACACATTCATATAGTGAAACAACTTTCACTCATCCAACCAAAGTTGGGTATATCAGAGTGATGCTTTATAATAAATAATTTGGTTTGCCAAGAAATATAGGTTTTTGGCCTTTATTTATTATTTTGTAAATACCATTCCAGCGTTGCTGTAAAGAGAAACATATAAATCTGGCAGTACAACAAACAGCTATGTTTCATGCTTTCTGTCGAGTCATCGCACTCTCACAGTTTTATAGCATTTAGCCAGCTTTGTTGAACTACTGTCATCTTGTGCCAGATTGCCTGGTACAAAGATGGCCAGCGCATCAGGCCCAGTGCGCGTTACCAAATTGAAGTTCTTCAAGATGGGCGAGCCAGTCTTCGTCTGCCTGTGGTGCTGCCAGAGGATGAAGGCGTGTACACTGCTTTTGCCACAAACATGAAGGGAAATGCAGTCAGCTCGGGAAAGCTTTATGTGGAGCCATCCGAAGCTGTAACGCCGCAGAGATACACACCACAGCCAGCAGTACAGAGGATAAGGTAATCTAATGATGGCACAATTAAAAAAGAAATTAAGAAAATCACATATCGCCATGAGAACTGGATGTTGGATGTTTTGGCTTATAGCTTAGCTTTTAAAAAAGACAGACAATATTGGTGACTAGCAGAATAATAGTGGTGCTTTAATAATACACTAATAATACACACACTTTTAACAAGCACACAATATCAGGTTGAAAGCTTTTAAAGCTTCTATCCACTGCATTTTTTTAAATTAAAATTTGTTTTGTTTAACTGCAGCCATGTCAAATGACGACACTGCTTCTTTCTCAGATCGACATCTCCTCGTTCTCTGAGCCGCTCCCCAGGGCGTTCTTCCAGCCGATCTCCTCGCCAGTCTCCTGCCCGTCGATTTGACGAAACAGATGAGGCTCAGCTTGAAAGACTATACAAACCTGTATTTGTCATGAAGCCCTCCTCAATAAAATGTTCTGAGGGGCAAACTGCCCGATTTGATTTGAAAGTTGTTGGCAGGCCAATGCCTGACACATACTGGTTCCACAATGGTAAGAACAGAAAAGGTAGCAGAGAAAAATTTCTTGATGTCTACCTTTGTTTTCTGATTCAGCCTCTCAGTCAACTTTGCCCTTCTTTTCCCAGGACAACAAGTGATCAATGATAACACACACAAGATAGTGATTAAAGAGGATGGTACTCAGTCCCTGATCATTGTCCCAGCCCTACCACAAGACTCTGGAGAGTGGACGGTTGTTGCTCAGAATAGAGCTGGACGGGCATCTCTCAATGTAACTCTTACTGTTGATGGTGAGTGATATATAGCACTCTTGAACTTTTTAATTAACCAAAAGATCATATTGTTAGACATTGTGTTGTTTTTTGTTTTGTTTTTTGCTATCTATAGCTCAAGAAACCCTGGCACGTCCTCAATTTGTTGAAAAGCTGAAAAACATCACTGTAAAGCAGGGCACTCTGGTTGAGTTGGCTGTCAAAGCCATTGGAAACCCCCTGCCAGACATTGTGTGGCTGAAAAACAGTGACATCATCACCCCACACAAGCATCCACAGATAAAGTATGTAATATCTAGTATTTTATATTTTGTTTTCAGTGCAGTATAAAAGTGCTTTCTTCAGTATATGTGGCCTTTTACTTTTTCAGGATTGATGGCACCAAAGGAGAAGCCAAATTCCAGATTCCATCTGCTTCAGGCTCAGACAGCGCCTGGTACACTGCTACAGCCATCAACAAGGCTGGTAGAGACACCACTCGTTGCAGAGTCAATGTTGAGGTGGACTTTGCTGCCCCTCAAACCGAGAGGAAGCTCATTATTCCTAGAGGAACCTACAAAGCTAAAGAGATTGCAGCACCCGAGTTGGAGCCGCTTCATTTGCGATACGGTCAAGAGCAGTGGGAGGAGGGTGATCTTTATGACAAGGAGAAGCAACAGAAACCACAATTCAAGAAGAAGTTGACATCTATCAGAATGAAGTGTTTTGGACCAGCCCATTTTGAGTGTAGACTCACTCCTATTGGTGACCCCAATATGGTAGTGGAGTGGCTGCATGACGGCAAACCTCTGGCTGCTGCTAATAGGTTGCATATGGTCAATGAATTTGGATACTGCAGCCTTGATTATGAAGTTGCTTATGCTAGGGACAGTGGTGTTATTACTTGCAGAGCCACAAACAAATGTGGAGTTGACCAGACCTCAGCCACCCTGATTGTCAAGGATGAAAAGGGACTTGTTGAGGAAACACAACTTCCTGAAGGCAGGAAGGGAGGATATAGGATGGATGAGATTGAGCGCATGGCTCATGAGGGAGGACCTGCAGGAGTCGGCGCTGATGAAGAATCTGAAAAGACAAAACCTGATATTGTCTTGCTTCCTGAACCAGCAAGAGTGCTGGAAGGCAACATTGCACGATTCCGCTGCAGAGTAACTGGTTATCCAGCACCAAAGGTTAATTGGTACCTCAACGGACAACTTATCCGCAAAAGCAAGAGATATAGACTCCGTTATGATGGTATTTACTATTTAGAGATTGTTGACATCAAGTCCTATGACTCAGGAGAGGTTAGGGTGGTTGCTGACAATCCTTTAGGAACAGCTGAGCACACAGTAAAGCTAGAGATCCAGCAGAGGGAAGACTTTAGATCTGTCCTGCGTCGTGCACCAGAACCAAAACTTGCAGAGGCTACACACGAGCCTGGCAAGATTGGATTTGATATTGTGAAGATGGACCGACCTAGTGAGGCTTCACAAGACAGGGAAGTGGTTAAGCTGCGTAAGACACAGAGAATTCTTCATGAGAAAACTTCAGAGGAGTCTGAAGAACTGAAGAGCAAGTTCAAGCGCAGAACAGAGGAGGGTTTCTATGAGTCTATCTCGGCTGTAGAGCTTAAGTCTCGCAAGAGGGATGACTCTTATGAAGACCTATTGAAGAAGACTAAAGAGGAGCTGCTCCATCACATGAAAGAGAAAGAAGAAGCTGAAAGGAAGAGGATGGAGGAAGAGGGTAAACTCACTATCCCCACAATAAAACCTGAACGGGTCCTGCTCTCTCCCAGCATGGAAGCACCCAAGATCCTGGAACGCATTGCAAGCAAGACTGTTGCTCCAATGGATGAGGTTCGTTTCAGAGTCAGAGTAGTTGGTAGACCAGAACCTGAGTGTCAGTGGTTCAAGAATGGCATTCAGCTGGAAAAGTCTGACCGTATTTACTGGTACTGGCCTGAGGACAATGTATGTGAATTGGTCATAAGAGATGTCGAAACACAAGATTCTGCTAGCATCATGGTTAAGGCCATTAATATTGCTGGGGAGTCCTCAAGTCATGCCTTCCTGCTTGTACAAGGTAAAGCAAGTTCATCTAAAATCATTTCTGCGCCATGCTAAATTTTCTTTGTCTTGATTTGTTTTTGTCTTCTTCATTTCACTGTTGCAGCCAAGACAGCAGTTAGCTTTACCCAAAACTTGGAGGATACGAGTGCCAAGGAGAAGGATACCATGGTGACCTTTGAGTGTGAAACCAATGAACCCTTCGTCAGAGTCAAATGGTTTAAGAACAACATGGAGATCTTCTCAGGCGACAAATACAGAATGCACTCTGACAGAAAAGTCCACTTCCTATCTGTGCTAATGATTGAAATGAGGGATGACGCAGAATACACCTGTGTGATTGCAGATGATGAAAACATAAGAACGAGTGCAAGGCTTCACGTGGAAGGTAATTTATTTAGAATATCCACTGGAACTGTCCTGTTCCTGTAAATTACATAAAAATGGTTCGGTATGTTGTTCTGTATCCAGGTGCTGCTCTCGAGCTCATCAAACACATGGAGAACATTGAGGTACCAGAATCCTATGCTGGCGAGTTTGAGGTCGAGTTATCTCGTGAAGATGCTGAGGGCAGCTGGCTCTTTGGAGACAAAGTTCTCTCACCCAGCAATAAATACATCATATCGTCACGTCGAGGAAGACACACTTTGTCTGTCAAGGATGTCAGGAAAGAGGACCAGGGAAAATACACCTTTGTATGCGGTGATCTGAAGACCAATGCCTCACTAAAAATGAAATGTAAGCTTAAAATGTGAAGTGCATGTTACTGCTGCTGGCAAACAAGAGAATTTTCATCAGTGTATTTCAACAGCGTTCTGTTGTTTCACAACTTTAACCTGTTGAAAAACATTGTGGGTAATTGTCTGATTGCATGTTTTTACCTCTGCCTTCAGTGCGTCCAGTGACACTGATGCAGCCCCTGACTGATCTGATAGTCTGTGAGGGTGATATTGCTCAGCTGGAGGTCAGGTTCTCCCAAGAGAATGTTGAGGGAACCTGGATGAAGAACGGCCAGGCCATTTCTGCCTCGGAACGTATCCACATTGTCATTGACAAGATGGTTCACAAGCTGCTGGTGGAGAATATCAGCACAGAAGATGCTGCCTTGTACTCTTTTGTGGTTCCTGCCCAGGACATCTCCACTTCAGGCAAACTCAGTGTTCAAAGTAAGAGTTAGAATTGGGTTTGAATATAAACTTAAAAATATTTTGTTAAAAAAAATTGTGACTTTTGACTGTCATCTTATTGCTCTTTCTTACAGCTATTGACATTGTAGTGCCATTGAAGGATGTATCCTCTATTGAAGGCACAAAGGCTGTCCTGGAGGCTAAGATCTCTGCCCAGGACATCAGCTCTGTCAAATGGTACCATAATGACAAACTGTTGACACCCAGTGACCGAATCCAAATGGTGGCAAAGGGCGCAAAGCAGCGGCTGGTCTTCACCAGAACCTTTGCATCTGATCAGGGTCACTATAAACTAGTTGTTGGCAAGGTTGACACCAGCTGTAGCCTGACGGTTGAAGGTAAGAAAGATTTTTAGTGCAGTGAAAAAGTATATGTCACCTTCTGGATTTTGTTTTTCATATATCTCATATTTAAATATTTCAGATCATTAAACACATTTTAATTTTATAACCCAAGTACAGGCAAAAAATTTTAAAGTTTTTAAATGACGATTTTATCTGTTAAGGCAAAAAGCTATCCAAACCTATCTGGCCTATCCTAACCAAATAACTGGTAAGGCCACTCTTGGCAGGAAGAACTGCAATGAAACATTGAATCTTCCACATCACTGTGTATGAATGTTGTCTGCCGTCTTTGTAGAATTGTTTTAACTCTGCCACATTGGAGGGTTTTTGAACATAAACGGTCTGTTTAAAGTCACGCCAAAGCATCACAACGGGATCCCAGTCCAGATTTTAACTGGATTTGACTGACTCCTGAACCTTTATTTGGTTTTTTCACCAGTTTAAAGGTGGATTTGCTAAAATGCTTCAGATCACCGTGTGGGTGCATAATCATTGTAATGTTTTTTGCCTTTTGGTCAACTGTGTCTTTTGTAGTCAACGTCTCCCTTGGATGCCATATTTGCACTAATGTTTCTTATTGTTAAATCATGAACACTGACTTTAACTGTGGCTGTAAAAAGTTGAAGTTCTTTAGAGGTTGTTTTGGGTTCTTTTGTGACCTCCTGGAAGAGTAATCAGTGCCTTTTTGGAGTCTGTCAACAGTAGGGATGGGTATCGTTTAGGTTTTATACGATACCAGTACCAAACCGGTACTTTTGAAACGGTGCTTGAACCGGTGCTTAAAGAATGGAGAACACACACTTTGTCCAAAAACCTCTCATGAGGTGAAACGTCTTCAAGCAACTTAAAGAAGTCCAGACGCTTTTCTTTGCAAGCTCCTTTGACTACGATGACCTGGATGACTGAGAACCTTCACAGACCTATAGGGGATTTATGGTATCACTCTTGGCTGGAAGCAGTGCTTAAACAATGGAAAAAAACACAAACTTTGTCCAACTTTGTTTAGCTGTTTCTCTCTTTTTCTTTGGTCATTTTAGCCTTTTTGGGCCAGGACTCTCCTCTTCGGGTTCTCGGGGGATGTTGCTAACTCCGGGTCTGATAACAGGCACCACACCCGCAGTAGATGTGCTTGGTGTGAGGTCTCGCAGCAAGCTATCAAATACGGCGCATTTCTCAGCTTTTAACAAAATGCTATACGTCGCCAGGTTCGTCGTCAGATTCGAGGTATTACCTCCTTTGCACAGTATCAGCTTAAAGCACTTGTTGCAGGCTCCTGAGTTTGCATATTTTGCTGTGAAGTACAGCCAGACTTTTGACCGCTTCGCCTTGGGCATTTTTAATCTGTAGCTCTGCTCTAAAAGAACGTACGTACCTGGGCCCGCCTACTATCCTTGGAAACGTAAAATGATTGGCTAGAATCTAAAGTGTATCATATCTCAGGGAAAAAAAAGCACCGAAATGTGCGCTTTTCAATCTGGTTACTACCGTTTATGTCAGAACCGGTGCCATAATGGCACCGGATACCGGTACCCATCCATAGTCAACAGGTCTGTTGGTAATTAGCTCTGGGTGTGACTATTGAACTCGGCTTTCCAAAATATGTGGTTAATCAGTTAATTAATGATTTAACAAGCGGGGCAATTACTTTTTCACATAAAGTCATGTAAGTTCAGGCACCTTTTTTCCTTAAAGAATTAAATTATCATTTGGTCTAAACTTAGTGTAAATTTTGCTGACTGAAAATATTAGTGTGAGAAAAATATATACAAAAAAATCATGGAGGGGGCAAATACTTTTTCACAGCATTGTACTTTCAGCATGATACTGTTTTTAGGTTCCAATCTCACTTTCATACTCTAACCATTTCATTTTTACAGAGGTAAACATTGTGAAACACATGGAGGACAAAGTGTGTTCTGAGTCCCAGAATGTGACGTTTAATGTTGAAGTCTCTCACCCTGGAATTGACTCAGTCTGGACATTCAGGAACCAGCAAATCAAACCTGGACCCAAATCCAAGATTGAGTCGAAGGGAAAGGCTCACTCTCTGACAGTCATTGACGCCATGAAAGATGAGGAGGGCCAGTACATGTTTCATGCTGGTGAAAAGACATCTAGTGCCAAGCTTACTGTCTCTGGTATGTCTAACTTTTAAGATATTATGGATATTGTGTGTTTTACTCAGATGAAATTATTTACACAATCACTGATTTAAAAAAAGACTCACCGGCACATTGGGGTGGTAGTGCCCACCTTCAAGAAAGATCGCACTCCTCAGCCTCCCTGGGAGGATCTATGCCAGATTACTGGAGAAGGGAGTACATCAGTTAGTTGAACCTCAGATTGAAGATGAACAACGTGGTTGTATTCCTCAACGTAAAGAGCTGGACAAGTTTTCTATCCTCTCAAGAATATTCAAGTATATTCTACAAGTGTTTTGTGGATTAGGAGAAGGCATTCGAGAACATGGGGTATCCATTGCTTGCTTGCTTCTGGGCCAGAGATGAGTTTTTGTGGAGGAATTTAAGAATCCTGGGCTTGTTCAGAGTGAGAGGAGAGGGAAGTAGGGGATTGATGGATTAGTGCAGCGATTACAGCGATTTGGACACTGTAACCCTCCATTGTGATGAAGAGAGAGGTGGGTGTAAAAGCAAAGATGTTGATAAACTGGTTGATCTACGTCCCTACTCTCTTCTATGGTCACACGCTCTGGGTAATGATCAAAAGAATGAGATCTTAATGTGGCGGAGGCGTGGCCCCGGGCGCAGCTGCAGGGGAGGAGTGGAGCGGAAGGCTCAACAGGGCGGCGCTGCGAGGCCGGTAAGAACAGCTGATGTTGTTTATGGACTGATGATGGTCTCCCTCCGCTGTGTTTATAGTGAGACGAGGAGGAGCGGCCAGGGAGAGATCAGCTGGGCTCGTGAGCTGTCAGACTGTGAGACTGAGTCAGCTGTCATAACACAAAGACTGAATAAATGTGGAAGTTGGCAGTACATACCTGTGTGTGCGTGTGTTTGTGCCTGGCGTATTCCACACTTAACAACAAGGCACAGAAATTAGTTTTCTCTGAAGGATCGCTGTGCTCAGGCTTAGAGATAGGAGCTCAGTTATCTGAGAGGGATTCATTCCACATAGAATGGAGCCAGGTAAGGTGGTTCGTGCATCTGATGTTTCCTGGGTGAGGTGTTCGAGGAAGGGTAGACACGAGACATGCTGGAGGGATTATGTCTCTTGGCTGGCCTGGGAATTACTTGGTGTAACCTTGGATGGAGGAAGTGGGTGGGAAGAAGAAGGTTTGGTCTCTTCTCAGACTGCTGCTCCTTGACCTGCCACTTCAGATAAGATAAAACCTTTGTAGTACTAAGATTGTTTTCCAGGGATTCCTGTGGTTTTCTTTTAAGTAACAAATTATCATCTAGTGTGTGGATTTACACACTAGATGATAATTTGTTACTTAATTTTTGGTACACATTTCACATTTTGCTGACATTTATACCTACCCATACCCATCTCTGACAAAAACGTGGATTATTTTAAAGCAGCTGTTTTTTTATTATGACAGAAGATTGTGTGTGTTGGCGTTTGCTGTTTCTGTGATTAGGACATGTGGTCAGAAGTGAAACAGAAATGTTACTTTCTGCTGCCATTAGGTGGAGCCATTACACGCCCCCTGCAGGATGTGACAGTGGCGGAGTCTCAGACTGCTGAGCTTGAGTGTGAAGTTGCAAATGCCAATGCTGAGGGCAAGTGGCTTAAGGAGGGCCAGCCCATTGACTTCAATGAGAATGTGGTGAGTGAGGTGAACGGGGCCATCAGGCGCCTCATCATCAACATTACCAGGCCACAGGATGTCGGAGAGTATACCTACCAGGTGGCCAACTCCAAAACTACAGCTAATCTCAGGGTGGAGGGTAAGTACTAGCTTCCCACTACCACACACACACATAGTGTTCACATAACCAAGATAAATAAAACAGGACGTTTACCGGGAACATACTGAGGTAAATTAAATACGACAATCAAAATAAAAGTAGTTATTGAAAGAAAATTTAAAAATTAACATTTTGTGGGAAAAATGCAAAGTGAGTGCTGAAAACTGAAAGATTTTGTCTGTTATATACAGCTCTAAAGGTTATCTGGGAATGTCCTGTTCATTTGTCGCAAAAAATAATGACTTGGTAAATGTTTGTTTAAACTTTTATGATAGTTTCAGACAGACTCACTATCACAATATTTGCAGTAGTTATTATACATATTATAGCTCTAGTAACTATAATAAGTGTTATATTTGTACGGTCGATCCATGGGACCAGTACTCCAATACTGGAAATCGGGATTAATCCTAATCTCTGATCCTATGGGTTTTACCCAGAAGGCGGAGCAGATCTTAGATGGAGCGTATGGGTGAGGGGATTCATCCAGTACTAACTATCCCTCAATAAGTACTAACTACCCTGGCTCCTCTCATTTAAAACAAACAAACAAAAACAAAAAACGTGAGCCCTCAGTAATTTAGCAGCTTGTAAATCTAAGAATAATAGGAGCTATTTATACTAATATGGATTCATCCTCAGGTTTTTACATTTACTGTTTCACGAAAGTTTAAAAAGGTTCACAATTGAAACTTTTTGAATACAACGTATTTTATTAAAGCAAAAGCCAAAGTAAATTAGAATAATTATTACAGAATCAAATTACTTGAATTATTCTTACCTAATTAACTGATTCTGAGTTAATGCTGATTTTATTAGAATCTTTGAGAGGAGATGGTCTGAGGAGAGAATGGGCACAGACACACTCATCTCTGTGTGGATATTGTCCAATAGAAATAGAGCCAAGTTCATGGAAGTTGCATCCCATTCAGAAACAATGGAAATCTCAATCCTCTTGGATTTATAATCTCAAACGGCAAAAATAAGTAGAGAAAAAGTCATAAATCCTAAATCCAGTTAGTGAGCCCACAGTGTCGGCATTGGTTGTTCCTCTGGTGTTACTTGCTATAATTTCCCCTCAATAACAGTGGCTGTGACATCCATCCACCATTACTGCCACCTCATCTGTCCTAACACATTCATTTTCTCACTTTTTCTCTTCATAACTCTGTTTATTTGTCCCATTATACTCAATATGATTTATTTTATTAAATCCTGCACATTAAAATCAGACGTTCTTTTAGATTAGTGGCTCCTCCGGCTCGCTCACTTCCCCCTCCCATCCTCCACACCCACACACACCCACAGCCTCTGAGGTCATCTCCACACACACACTCAGTGAGAGGCCTGCACCTAGAATCATTATTATAGATTATATTTTCTTATTTGTATGTTGGTTAAATTTATACCTGATTATATTCTGATCACTATTAGGAAGCGAAACACGATTAACCACCAGCAAAATCCCCTCATGTTATCTGTGTTTAACACTTGCAACATACTTCATGTATCATACAATCATGTGTGATGATGATGATGGGTTGGCGACCCATTTCTGTTTTCAGCCACACACAGACACTAATCTGCCAAGGATGAAGCTGGATAATATCTGCACATTAGAATACGTTTCATTCCTCATATTAATTAGACTTATATCTCTATTGTATGTTTGATTAAAAACAAAGATGATTTATGAGTAAAAGCACATACAGATAGACTCCATTTAGCACTCTGCATCACTTTTTAACATAAGAGGCTGGATGTTAAGAACTTCTACTCTCAGATGTGATGAGAGGTAAGCCGGGGGGACTTCAGTCTCTGTCTGTCCCACCTCTCCTGACAGAACTAAAATGCTTCCAAAACTAACGAATCACCTCCATGTGTATACATTAAAGTTAGCAGAGTTTTATATTTATATGCAGGAGTGAAGATCAAGAAAACTCTGAGGAACCAGACCGTGACGGAGACCCAGGAAGCAGTGTTCACACTGGAGCTCACACACCCCGATGTGAAAGGATCCCAGTGGATTAAGAACGGGGTGGAACTGCAAAACAGCGAAAAGTACGAGATCGTCTCCAGTGGCGTGGTCCAAACGCTGAAGGTCAAGGACTGCAACATACAGGACGAGTCTGTTTACTCCTTCAAACTTGGAAAACTTTCTGCCAATGCCAGACTCAACGTAGAGAGTAAGTGTCAGATTTTATCAGCATAACCAAGAATTGTGCACAATGTTGTCACATATCATCATCGCCCTTGACTGCTTAAAAATTTGAGTGCTTTATCTGCTACTTTTTTCCCTGCAGAAATCAAAATCGTGAAGAAGATAAAAGATGCGACGTCTCTGTTGGATGGCACAGCCTCCTTTGAGATGAGCCTCTCACATGACGACATCCCTGTTAGGTGGATGTTTAAAGGTTTGGAGCTGAAGTCAAGTGAGAAGTGCAAAATTCTGTCTGAGAGGAAAGCACACAAACTGATCCTGAAGAATCTGGACAGCAGCGATGCAGGAGAGTACGTGGCTGTGGTTGGACACTTGCAGTGCAGTGCTGTACTCACCGTGGAGGGTATGTAGCACTATAAGACAAACTGCATGTGAAGTCTTGCATTTAGATCGCAAGATAGTAACTCCAAGCTGCTCTCTGACACATCCATCAGAGTATGAATGTTAGATCAAAAACACTTAAGCACAGATTGCAGGTAGAGTGAAAAGCAGTCCATCCACTTACTGAAGAATATAAAGAATGTTTATGGTGTTTGAGACGAGAAGAATATTTGTCTAATCTTTTGTTATTCATGTCTTGTGACCTGATTTACTACATGCAGCTCTGCAGGTCACTAAACCCATGAAAAGTGTGGAGGTACCAGAGACTCAAGTGGCCACATTCGAGTGTGAAGTCTCCCACTTCAATGTGCCGTCCACCTGGCTGAAGAACGGAGTGGAGATTGAGATGAGTGACAAGTTCAGGATTGTGGTTCAGGGAAAACTCCATCAGCTGAAGATCATGAACACCAGCAGGGATGACTCTGCAGAGTACACCTTCATTTGTGGCAACGACCAAGTGTCTGCAACACTCACCGTCAACCGTAAGAATTCTGACCTCCCAGAACGTGATATGAAAATACTGTATCAGAATGAGACTCAAAAGGGGGTTAAAATAATTTCTAAATTATATAATCACCTAATTTAACATGTTTTAAGCTTTAAAGTTTCAGAATTCTCGCTATATATTTGAGCTTTATTACTATTCTGTCCTCAGAGTGCTAGTTTGTCCTTAGATTGTGAACATCAGAGAAACTGGGTTGTATCTGAAGTAATCATAAAACAAAATAAAAGTGTCTGAATAACTGCATACAGTAATAGCTGAAATTCTTCAAAAGCAAACACAGTGAATGTGTCTTTTTGTATTTCCCTCAAATTTCGTCCTCCAGCGGTTCTGATCACCTCCATGCTGAAGGACCTGAATGCCCAAGAGAGAGACACTATCACCTTTGAGGTCACCGTCAACTATGAAGGCATCACGTACAAATGGCTGAAGAACGGCGTGGAAATGAAGTCGTCGGACAGGTGCCAGGTCCGCAGTCGGCAGCTTACGCACTCCCTCACCATCCGAAACGTTCACTTTGGAGACGGAGGAGAGTACAAGTTTGTGGCCGGCTCTGCTGCCACCACTGCTAATCTCTTTGTCGAAGGTAACCTGGTGCTGAGCATGTTTACAGTCTGTAGAGGTGAGAAATGCTACGAAACGTCTCTGAAAATGTTGTTCTTTCAGCTCGTGTGATTGAATTCACCAAGAAGATCAAGGACATAAAGATCACAGAGAAGAAGAAGGCGATTTTTGAGTGTGAGGTTTCTGAGCCAAACATCCAGGTGATGTGGATGAAGGACGGTCAGGAGATGGACATGTCTGAGGAAAGGTCTGTCAGTGCTCGTCAAAGTTTGGCCACACTTAATCTGAAAATCACTATTCCCAGCATCTCCTTTGGACAATGAAAGCTTTTAGAGGTTAATTGTGAGTTGGATATCTTCTGCCTTGAATCCAAAGGTATATTGTGACAGCAGAGAAGTATGTTCACCGCCTCGTGATCCAGACGGTTCGAATGTCTGATGCTGGGGAATATTCAGTGGTAGCTGGATCAAGCGTCTCCAAGGCCCGGCTCACTGTAGAGGGTCGCGACATTCGGATCTCGGAACCTCCTGAGCGGGAAATTACGGTGAAGTGGTTTTAAAGTTCATTTACTGATGTTTCAGAATAAAACTTCTGTCTTTCAGGTAATCACAGTTTGAGGATTAAAGGTGATTCGCTGTTTTTTAAAACTGTTCATTTATTTCATTGCAATGAGTTTCATCTTATTTTAATCCTAAGTTAGCTTTTGCAACCAAAGCTGCTCTGTTTCACAACCACAGGCATTACGCAGAGAAGTTAGTGTCAGTTTGGTGCATCTATATGTTTTAGCTTGGAAAGACACGGGCGAAGTTTACAGATACTGAACCTGAGATTAACATTTTTATTTCTCTTTTATTTCTTATTTAGAAATATGCCTTAAAGTAATAAGGCATAAAGATACACTAGAAACAGTGTGTAAATATTTAGATATTATTCTGTTCTCTCTGTGGAAGCAGTGACGATTGGCCATAAAAATAAAAAATAACTATTAATGTTTACATATGACCCGCTCAGGTTTGTCAGTCCCCCACAGCATGTTTTACTGCACTCACATTTTAAAAAGCAACTTAAATAGTAGAATTTTGGGTGCTTGGTGATTGTATTTACTGACATTTTCAACAGAAAATAGGGCCTTAACTCTATTATTGTAGGGTCTACCTTACAATATAAAGCACCTTGAGGCGACAGTTGTTGTGATTTGGCGCTATATAAATAAAACTGAATTGAATTGAACAGAGATAGAAATGTAAATATTTCACTATCCCCTCCTAGGTTCTGGAGAAACACCGTGCAACCTTTGAGTTTGAAGTGAATGAAGAAGATGTGGAGGGTCACTGGCTGAAGAACGGTGTGGAGATCCAGTTCTCGATGGAAGAACGATTTAACTACGTGACCATCAGGAAGCTGCATCGCCTCACCATCTCAGAGACCTACAGGAGTGATGCTGGGGAGTACACCTTCATCGCTGGCAAAAATAGAAGCACCATGCAGCTTCGAATAAACAGTAAGTCCAGCGTGACGTACATCACACAGAAAGAATGATGTACAGTATGAACACATAAAAACTGGTTGTTTGTTTGTTTCTAAAAAGGCCATTTATTTCAAACTTTCTCATCAGTGATACAATTGTGCTTTGAAGGTTACATACACTCATCATTCTCACCATTTTGGCTTTATAATTATTTCTTTGAGCTGCTATTTTTAAGGGTAAAATGTCTGTTCAGCATATATCTTTAATGACTTAAATAAAATTAGAACTGGGTGCATTTGAATTTTTTTAGGACTTTTCTCTAATCACAGGGTTAAACGTATATGTACAAGCTCAAGTATATACAGCGCTCCCTCGCTATAACGCGGTTTGCCTTTCGCGGTTTCGCAGATTTTTTTTGGTGCAATTTAGTTTTTTGGGTTTTTTACAGTGCATTGTCAATTAATCTCATGCTGTGTCTCCTGTACAGTACAGAATGCGTTCAGCTTGTCAAATTTACATAAATCTTCGATTGCTAGCAGCGTGACTCTGACGTGCTGTACTGTATGTTTGTAAGTTTCCTCCCCAACAAACACAACAACGCTGAAAACGTCGTCACCTGCGGGTCCCTTTGGTTTCATTCTGTAATACTGGACTTATTTTTCTACAAAGCCTGAACTCTGAGAATATTTAAATAAGAGAGAAAAGTGTATTAAGTGTGTAGTGAGGGGTTTGACAGCCTTAAAACATCTATGTTAATTGTAAAAAATAAAGTTGGCTACTTTGCAGATTTCGCCTATTGCAGGTTATTTTTAGAACGTAACTCCCGCGATAAACGAGGGACCGCTGTACATGCAGAAGTGCAGCTGAAGGTTCTAGCAGGCCTAAATGCAGACACGGAAGGATGGACACAAGAAAGCAATTTATATTACATCACAAAAGGTCCAGGAAACAAAACATGAAGCACAAAAGGGAAAATTAAATCCACCCACAGAGAACAGCAATCAGGAAAGTGGAGATGTGATGAAAGCAAGACACAGCTGAAAAGAAATGGATGATGAGAAAACTAAAAGCAAGGCACAGAGGACAATGAATCCAAATAACACAGGAAGTGAAATATGGTAACCAAATACATAGACACACATGAACTTAACACAGGGGAAGTGACATGAGAGGATGGAGCAAGAAGCTTTGAACAAGGAGCAAACTAACACAAACGGAAACAGAACAATTATGTAGTTTTCATATATATCCGTATATTCCAGTTAAACTTTACCTCTAAAATATTCTGCCTCATTCAGTTCCCGAGCCTCCTCAGATTCTTCGCCACATGGAGCCCCAGTCGGTGGAGGCTGGAAAACCAGCTCGCTTCTCAGTCCAGGTGAGCGGTGTTCCCCAGCCTCAGGTCTTCTGGTACAAAAACTCCCAGGCTCTCTCCGCTGGCTTCAAGTGCAAGTTCCTGCACGATGGCAACGAGCACACACTGCTGCTCATCGAGGTCTTTCCTGAAGACGCTGCTGTCTACACCTGTGAGGCCAAGAACGAGTATGGCACTGCCACAAGCACTGCGACACTCAATGTTGAAGGTGAGACATGGATATTCAGTTTTGTATAAAACAGATTGTTGGTTTCTGCTGAAATTGGCATTTTTTCCTGAGTAGAGTGCATGCTCTCGCCATTAGCCCAACATCACAGTTTTCATGGACACAACTCTCCACCAGAAATAGGTCAGATCGTACCAGAAGGTGGAAATGACTTCTGCATATTTTTAAGTTGCACTTTATTATTAATTCAACGTGATCATTAAGAGGTGATGATAGCTTCAATATAATGCAAATGATGTAGGGCAGCAGAACAACAAGCACTAAAATACGAAAAGAAAAAAGTTTTCCTAAAGTTTTGGAAAAGATAAAGAAGAAGACTATTTGTATAAGAGTGTTCTTACCTGACACCAACTAACTAGAAAGTGTATGAATATGCAGTGCAAGCCTGCAGGGCAGCCTCCACACTGCTCCCCCTGGTGGATACACATGCTTTTACCACCGATTGCTCATTAAGGGCGTTACTACTCATAGTTGTGTCGTCCACGTCACAGGCGGCAAATTAACAACCGTCAAGGAGACCGGTCAAGGATTGGCCGAGGACCCACCAGGGCCCTGTCAGGGTCCAGGCAGACATTGTAAGTGGCTGTATCTGTACTGATTCAGGTTCTTGTGTTGCAGTTTCAGAGGTGGTTTCTCCAGACTCCCCCGCCACTGTTGCTCCCCCTGTCATCATCTCACCCATGGCCAGCACTTCAGCCTGCGAGGGCGCACCAGCTTGCTTCCAGTGCAAAGTCCGTGGAGATGGTAAAAAATACAATTTCTTATTGAGTGATGCTGTGATTTTTTTAATACTGAAACAAAGTGATGGTATTGCTCAGTTTCTGGTAGTTACGCTGCACAGAATTTTACGTTGAAACTTTATTCAAACCTGTGGCCACTTCCTGTGAATGGAATTTCCTACCTACGCATAAGTTTCAGTAGTAGTGTGTCCTTTGGTCTTCTCTTGAAGCCATTGGGACTTCACTGAAACTTGATTATGGCACGCGACTAATTAACCACCTTCTGACTTATTTACTCTTGCTGTTGACCCACAGTGCAAATTTACTGCAGTATATTTACACAAGCCGTGCTTTTTCCTTTGTCAACCATCAAGATGTGAAGATAAGCTGGTTCCACAAGAAAAAGGAAATCAAACAGTCCGAATTCTTCAGGATATCTCAGTTTGATGACAGCTGTCAGCTGGAGATCTCCAGGGTTTATCCAGAGGACGAGGGCGAGTATACCTGCATGGCCACAAACAATGGAGGGACGGTATCCTGCTCTGCAACTCTTACATTAGACGGTGAGTTTATTACTAAAAAGAAAGGCTGCTTTTCTTACTCTGAGACAATTGAAGTGTCACTAACAGAAGCTCACAGCAGTGCTGGTTTCAGATCAACACACTCTCACTGAATCTGTAGATTATGATTTGGTGTTGTGTTGTCTGGCGATAACAAATCCTGCACATTCAGTTTTCAGAACTTGTTCTTTGAGGTTAGGATTAAGTTATACATTAAAATGAATCTCAACAGCAACAACAGTGGGCAAAGGAAAAAAAATCTGCCTGTGTAATGATGGCATTCATCCATCCATCGGCTGGAGCCCATCCCAGCTGTCTAAGGAAGGGCACACCCTGGACAGATCGCGAGTCTGTTGCAGGGCTAGCACATAGAGACAGACAACCATCCACACTCACATTCACACCTTTAGAGGTGTTCACAATTTAGAGTTACCAATTAACCTATCACTACTAATTGCATCTCTTTGGACTGTGGGAGGAAGCTGGAGTACCCGGAAAGAACCCATCGTACTGCCTATGGTGGCATTGGAGGATCATAAAATGAATAATAATAAAAATGAGAAAAATGTGGGCTTTTGTGTTGGAAGTGTTTATTAACCATGTAGAATTAACTTTGTAAAATTACTCCCATTGCAATGTGTTTTATAGTTATATAGGAATGCAATGAAAGGTGACCAAATAAAGGAGATAAAGAAGAATAACTGGAGAAAGAGTTCCCTGTCGTTTATAACAAGGTGTGGCTCAGGGAACAATCTTTCATAAAAATACAAACAAGTAAATATCATTGTGTTTACTTTTTCCTTTTTCACCTGAGTTCTGTGTCAAAGTTTTTATCCACGCTTTCTTTACTGAAATAGGACCTCATGAGCCCTCAGTCAGTTTCAGTTTAGTGATTTGAAATGCTAGTGGGGACGCTCAGCCATGATAGTGAGGGATCATTTGCTCTGGTCCAAATAGTTTTGGTTGTTTTGAGTATTTTTGTAGTTAGTTAGTTTAGTTTGTAGTTTTTGTTATGCTGTGAAAGGACAGAAGATATTCCCTTATTCCCAGCTCCTGACAGATCACACAAATGGTGCTTACTGGGATGTAAAGTACACTGAGCCAATGAACATGCGTTATTTCAGGGCAAAAGCAAACGTGGGACAGATCAGCCACCACCAACATCACTCGCCTAAAGATACCTTCAATTTGCCAAAAGCCAATTTCATCCAACCAATCACAAGCTGTACAGTGCCACATGGGGGGAGGCCCACTTTTATCCGTGTGTAGCTAGCATGCCAAAATCAGAAATAAGCTGGTTCCACAACCAACACTCGGTTTAGCCTAACAAGAATGAAAACACTGCCACTCTCGTCGTAGTGGATGCTTTGGCCAGTACTCCTGTAAGACTGCTAATACTGCTGAACAGGCCACGTGCTCAGCCACACTCACCATAAACGAAGAAGGTAACCCGTCCTAATTAGCTCCAAGCAAAACTTGAGAGGATGTCCTGAACTGAGGTGCAACATTCACTGTCACATTAGTTACTAGTGGGTTTGATTCTCTGAAATTATTTTTCAATCAGAAAAATTTAACAAAAAAGCCTCAAAACAGGAACTGACAGAAGTTAGTAACCTGACTCATTTTCAGATACAGAATGTGAATTTGCTTCAAGGCAGCTACAGTAAGACTTACATTTATTTGAGTGTGTTTGAGCACACTGCAGTATTAAAAACAGAAAAGAAAAAAATAGAAAATTATCCAAACACTCTGAGACCTGCTCAGAAAAAAGATATGGAAGCAATACTTTCTGTAGGGAAAGACATTAAGAGGGGTAGAAAACTGTCAGTACACATGTAAATGTACATTATATGTGAAAGAAATGTGTGTCTACATCTGCCCATGTTGGGATCAGTGTGTTGATGAAAAGGGAATAAATGTCATGGCTTTCTTCACAGTGACTCACGTGAGAGAGCAGGCTGAAACCAAGACTGAGCTGGAAGTCAAAGGTAAGGTCATAAAGTTAACTTTTCACCACATATTAGAGCGAGCATTACTCCATCATGGATGGAGTGGAAATACTACAGCTGGAGCAGATTTCTCTCAACAGAATTTTGATTTGAAAATAGTCTGTCACTGGATAACTCCAAGCTGTGGCTCACTGAAGCAGATAAATTGTTTGTGAGAGCAAAGTGATAACCGCTACATGAGTGGATGCTTTGTGTTGGATCGTACTTGTCATGCGTCCATGCTTTTATCATTTGTATATTTCAGGATGAACTTTGACCTTCCACAGTTGCATGACATCTTTATATGTATGTATATATA